AAGCCGGAAGTGGCGCTGTGGCTCAAGTGGTAGAGCGCTAGCCTTGAGCTGAAGAGCTGAGGGACAGCGCCCAGGCCCAGAGTTCAGGCCCCATGACCGGGCCCAGAAAAAAAAAAATAAAAAAAAAAAAGAATAGAAAATAGTAGCATTTTACCTTCAGGAGAGTAATCTGATTGTGAGCTGAATTTGACATGATTTTCATTTTCTGAACAGGTTGAAGCTTGTAGATTATATAGCAAGTTCTCAGCCCGGCCAGCCAGCATAGAAATGATTCCATTTGTCATTGAAAAGGTACAGTATTTAATTAGATGAACCCAAGACGTCATAAATGGTAACCACATACCCTATCGTTAAGCTACACTTCCAGCATTGTTCTTTTTATTCTTAATAGATGAGTGACAATTAACACTATGCCTAGGTTATTAAAAGTGACATTGCTATGGTGAAAAATTGCAACTGAGAAGGATTTCTTGGAAGCTGTGAATAAAGTCATTAAGTCTTTTGCAAAATTCAGTGTTACTCCATGCTATATGACTTGTAACTAAGTGCCATAGGCTTGCAAATGAAAACATCCTTTAGTTGAAATCCTAAAGCTTGTATACATTTGACATTAACTACCTTGCAACAAAATAAATGATTTCAAAATTGTAAAAAAAAAAGTGACATTTCTAAAAAACTCTTTATAGGGGCCAGATATGGCAGAACATACTTGCAATTCTAGCTTCTTATGAGGTAGAGACAAGAGGATCATGGTAAAAAGACCCTATTTCTAAAAGACACCAGCTGTGGTAGTACATGCCTTTAGTCTCTGCCATAGAGATAAGAAGATTGTACTCTGAAGCCAGTCTGCGAAAACTTAGCTCTGGACTCTGCTGAAAAACAAGCCAAAAGACTTATTTAGCTTTAGCATGGTTCAAGTGATAGATATAGCACTTGTCTAGCAAGCACAAGGCTTGCAAGACTTTTTTTTTTAAACTAAGTAAAACACCAAAACTGAATTACATTTTATGTTCACTGTCGTCTAGTTATAGAAACAGAAGTAATTTTTGCACAAAGTTTCTATGCCTTAGTTTGTTGTGTTTTTTTTTCTTTATTAAGATGCAGAATACTGGCATCAAATACAGTGAAAACAAGGGTTATATCGTGGGGGAAGAACATAAAAAAGAAAAGAATCACGTAGTTCATTATAAGTACATTAAAAACAATAGCAGGAAAGAAAAAACTACTTGTCCCTGTCTTGGGGTACATGTTGCTTAATATTATCTCATGTGGTCATATGTACATAGCCTTTGGCCTTCTCTGTTTGTCCTAGACATGTTCTAGCCATTGCAAACAAGGGAAACCATGGGACCTATGTTTCTTTGGGCCTGGCTTACTTCACTTAATATGATTTTTTTCCAAGTCTTTCCATTTCCTAACAAATAGGGCAATGTCATTCTTTCTGATGGAGGCATGGAATTCTATCATATATATATATATATATTTCTGTCACATTTTCTTGAGCTGATTGGAAACTTTGGCCAAGTAGCACGTATAAAATTAACCCTCAGGGGCTGCGAAGGTGGCTCAGTGGTAGAGCGCTTGCCTTGCATGCATGAGGCCCTGGGTTCGATTCCTCAGCACCACATAAACAAAAAGAAAAAAGCTGGAAGTGGTGTTGTGGCTCAAGTGGTAGAGCTAGCCTTGAGCTGAAGA